ATGGCTCTTGGAGGATATGGGTGTTTCTCAGCCATCTTCTACTGATCTTTACTACGACAACCAAAATGCTATACAGATTACTCACAATGATGTTTTCCATGAGCGCACAAAACATATTGAGGTCGATTGTCATCTTATTTGATATCATGTTGCCAAAGAAACTATCCACCTGGTCTTTATTGACTCTGCTGATCAATCGACGGATTTTTTCACGAAGACTCATTTTCCTGGACGCTTCCACACTCTCTTTTCCAAACTCAAGCTGGTCTCCTCATCACCACCTTGAGTTTGAGGGAGGATGTTACAGACAGAATATTCTTGATTATGTTCACATTACAATTGATTGACATAATTAGATTAATTGATTTTGTACCATAGAATATTCTTGTGTATAGGCCTATAAATAAGCACCTTATATAGTCATATGAATCAAGAAAAAAGTTTTTCTTCATATTTTTCTCTCCTGCATTATTTGCTCACAAGAGAAAAATGTAAACTAGAATCAAAGTGTGAGAAATGAGATAGGGGTTTTTGATGGGGTTGATGAACCCTTGATCATGCCAAATTCTTTGGCCCCTGCACAAGCCCCACTTGAAATGGAAACGAAAAAGAATATTTATAAATTTCAAAGAATTTTGAAAAAGAAAATCTGCAGGGTAGTTAATGGACATGGAGAAAGATTTGTTTAGACCCTTGGTTATGGATTGAATGAGGAGGAGAAGGATTTTGGCAGTACAGTCCTAACCTTTTCGATTAGTCAGTGAGAAGAGGATTTTGGTTCTCTATGTTGTGTTAAGATGAGAACGGGCAAATAAACAGTAAAAACACACCGTTTTATGGATTAGGTCTTGGCATGGCAATTTTTTTACCAGGAAGTCCTGTTTTTCTGCTTTCTTGATAGATAATATATATTATTTTTGCTTAGTTTAGGCCATGAAGAAAAAAAAAATTTATTAATATAAAAATATTATGTTATAATAAGAGAAAAATGCTTGTCACTCTCAACTTTTAAAAAAAATTAAAGTTTTAATTTTAAATTATGTCGTTTTATTTAATTAAAATTTAATTAAAA